CGAGGAGGTGCAGGACACACGCCCGCGGCGCTCGCCGTCGTCGTCGCCGCCGTCGTCGTCGCCGTCGCCGCCGTCGCCGCCGTCGTCGTCGTCGTTGTCGTCGCCGCCGTCGCCGTTGTCGCCGCCGCCGCCGCCGTCGTCGTCATCGTCGTCGTCGTCGTCGCCGTTGTCGTTTCTGCCGTGCGTGATTGTCGTTGCTGTCGTCGTCGTCGGAGGAGGAGGAGGAGGTGGAGGAGGAGAGGAGGAGGAGGAGGAGGAGGAGGAGGAGGAGGAGGAGGCTGTCCTGGCACTCTTCCAGGGCGGGGCTCGATCAGGGCTTCTCCAGGGCAGGGCTCGACCAGAGCTCTCGCGGCCCTCGACGGGCAGGGCTCGAGCAGAGCTCTCGCGGCCCTCTCAGGGGAGGGGCCCAGGCGTGATCAGGCCTGGGGCGCTGGAGCCCACCCAAGATCGAGCACCGCAGCAGGGCATAGCTGGCACGGGCGAGGCCTGGCTTGGTCAGACTCCTCTCCAGGCTGACCCACCTCCACAGCCTGATCATGGGACAGGCCGTGCTCCGCCAGCTTTCGGGGGGCGAAACGACAAGCGAGCACTCGTTGTGCCGTGGACGCTGGCGGCTCAGCTCCAGCGCGATCAATCAGCAGGTCTTTTCGCTTCCTGGTCCGGCACTCGTCCGACGAGTCTCTGCCAAGGGCCTGCTGGCCCTCTCTGATTCGGCATGCCACGGGGGGGAGGCGGAGGAGGAGGAGGAGGAGGAGGAGGAGGAGGAGGAGGAGCAGGAGGAGCAGGAGGAGGAGGAGGAGGAGGAGGAGGAGGAGGAGGAGCAGGAGGAAGAGGAGGAGGAGGAGGAGGAGGAGGAGGAGAGAAGGAGGAGGAGGAGGAGGCGGAGGAGGAGGAGGAGGAGGAGGAGGAGGAGAAGGGAGGAGGAGGAGGAGGAGAAGGGAGGAGGGGTGAGGGAGAGGGGAATCCGAGGCGGGGATACATCCACGACCTTGCCTGGGAGGTCGATCCTCGGGGACCTCGGCGGGTCGTGGCTATGGGCAGGCCCCGACTCGCCTGGAAGGGCTTAGGTCGGAGGGCGCCGACTGTGCGCCTGCACCGATCCCGCACGCCTGGCCGATCCTGGGCCCAGGATCGGTGTACAGTGAGCGGCTTGAATAAGGAACACTTACTTTTCAAAAGGGGCTCGGTCGTTCCTTAGGCTGGCATGCGTCATCTAAAGTTCCTTCTGCGTTATTCATTATTCATCGTTCCTTATGCGTTTTTCCTTGGGATAAAAAGGGGCTTCGTTCCTTATTTATCGTTCCTTAGGTCAGGCCGATGACTGTACAGTCGGTTCGCTGAGAGAAGGACCACGTCGACCTCAGGAGGGGCTCGGGTTTTCGGGCCGCTCCTCGGGTCTAGGTCGGGGAGCCTGTTTGTGGTCTAGGCCTGGCGTGGCCAGAGAAGCCCCCTCGTTCCTTGTTTGGCGTTCCTTCTGGTAGCGCCGTCGACTGTATGTGGCCTCCGGAAGCCACGAGGGCCTACACACCGATCTTGGGCCCATCCTGGGCCTGGCAAGAGTCGGTGCAGGTGTGCACGCCGGTCGTTGAAAGTAGGTATTGCTGGATTCCCAGATCCCAATCTACTTCAAGCACCTTCCTACTTCAAGAATCGGCACGCTTTTGCTGTGTTCTGCTATCCTCTGTGGGGCCTGGACCCAATCAACTTAATCCGCCGTCTTTATGTTTTTACCTACTTCTTCCGACCGACGTGTAGACTCGGCACCCTCCTCGGAGTGGCGACGCCCCGCTGCCTCTCCGAGAGGGAGAGAGAGAGAGAGACAAGACACATAAACAATGTATGTATGTGTATATATATATATAGAGAGATGTATTCCTATTCATTTCCATATATTCCTATATGTTCCTATTCATCTATTTTTTATAGGGCTGGGGACGCCGGAACAAGCGCCCGCCCCCCCCCCTAACGAATTTGGCCCTCCACGGGCCTCCGGGCAGCCCTCCAAACGACCAGGGAGAACCTCACGAGAGCCCGAACACGGTCCCAGACGGGTTCCAGGCGTTCCAGCGCGCTCCCGAAACGACCCCAGAGAGCCCCAATACGGTCCACGACGACGCGCAAGAAGCCGTCATAGCCCCAAAGATCGCTCCGAAACGTCCCAAGAGGCCGCCAAGAGCACTCCCAAGAAGGCCCCAAGAAGCAAACATCATAGATTTTCTGTCTTCCCGACGCTCCAAGACGGCGGTCTTCTGGGCGTCCGAAGCCGCTTGGGAGGCTCCAAAATCGCCCCACAACCATCCGAAAGGGCTTCCAGGCAGCCCAAGGGAGCCCCAAGACGGCACAACAGGGGTCCAAGATGGCCCTCAGAGAGCCCGATGGCGGCCCCAGATGGCCCCAAGACGCCCTCCGAAGCATTCCGAATCGTGACCTGGTCGTTCAGGGAGACCGCGGTTGAAGGCAGGGTGGCCCGAGGAAGCCCCCAGAGGCCCCCAGAACACGCCCAGGAGGCCTCCAGAAGGCCTTAAGAAAGCTTGAACAACTTTTGTGAGGCCCCCAGAGACTCTCCAAGGAGGATGGGGAGAATATGCAGGGCATGGCGAGAATGAGGAAAAATAAGCATGAAGGAAGGATAACGAATAATTAACATGATGATCAGAGTGAGGGGGCCGAACGGTCATTCATTGTCCCTGGGTGCGTGGCTGAAATAGAGATCCGTGGTGAGCATTATGCTTGTTGCGTTGTTGTTGTTTGTTTGTTGTCGTCGTCCCACCCGCGACCCACCCGCGACCCACCCGCGACCCACCCCGCGACCCACCCCGCATTTCACCCCGCGAGCCACCTTGCGACCCACCCCGCGACCCACCCCGCGACCCACCCTGCGACCCACCCTGCGACCCACCCCGCGACCCAACCGCGACCTACCCCGCGACCCACCCCGCGACCCACCCCGCGACCCACCCCGCGACCCACCCCGCGACCCACCCCCGACCCACCCCGCGACCCACCCGCGACCCAATAGCGACCCACCCGCGACCCACCCGCGACCCACCCGCGACCCATTTGCGACCCACTTGCGACCAACCCATTGGTTTAACGAAAAAATTGGCGCCTGCGGCGGGCTCGTTGTATAATTTGAGAAGTTTTGGCGCCTGCGGCGGGCTTCTCCAGAGTCTCGCATTCTGTCGACGTCCCCACCGGCCCCTCACTCTTATCCGCATCTGCGGGGTGCTACGTAACGGCGATGCCGGAAATGGCAACCAGGAGTTCTCGCAGAATTGTCGGTTTGACCTTCCTGTCATGCCGCCTGCATACCAAATTTCAAGGACTCGGGGGCCTCTTGGGGTCCTCAGGGGGCCGCTCGGCTGCCCTCCTGACCGATTTGAGCTCGTTGCCCAGGCCCTGCAGGGGCAGCCAGGAGCGTCGGAAATCCCGGGGGAGCCTCCTGCTGGGGCGTCGAGGGGCTCCCAGGGCCACGGATCGAGCGGGTCCCGTTTGGGGGGGGGAATCCCACCCCCCGCGGATTCCAAATTGTAGAAATTGGAATAAAGAGATAGAGAGAGAGAGAAACAAAAAAAGAGGGAGAGAGGGAGACACAATGATATATATATATATATATATATATATATATATATATATATATATATATGTGTGAATTTATATTTGCATGTATATATACATCTGTATATATGTACATCTATATATACATATAAATATACATACATACATACATACATACAGACAGACAGACAGACAGACAGACAGACAGACAGACAGACAGACAGACAGACAGACAGACAGACAGACAGACAGACATACATACATACATACATACATATATGTATTTAGACACACACATATATATATATTTATATATGTTCGCACAAGACTGCAATGGCGCTTCGCGTCACCTTGGTCCTTGAAGTTTGGTATGCAGGCGGCATGGCAGGAAGGTCAAGCCGACAATTTAGCCAGAATTCCTTGTTGCCTTTTCCGGCACTGCCGTTATAGTAATGTTATTCCTTATCTTTCTCCATGTTTCTTTTTCCTCATTCTCGCCATACCCTGCGCATTCCCCCCGTCCTCTTCAGCTCTTTTTGCGGAGGCTCCTCCTTGAAGAGCCTCTGGGGGCTTCCTAAAAGTTGTTCAAGCTTTCTTAAGGCCTTCTGAAGGCCTCCTTGGCGTGTTCTGGGAGCCTCTGGGGGCTTCCTCGGGCCACCCTGCCTCCAACCTGCGGTCTCCCTGAACGACCGCGTCACGATTCGGAATGCTTCGGAGGGATCCTTGGGGCCAGCTTGGGCCGCCATGGGGCTCTCTTAGGGCCATCTTGGACCCCTGTTGTGCCGTTTTGGGGCTCTCTTGGACTGCCTGGAAGCCCTTTCGGATGGTTGTGGGGCGATTTTCGAGCCTCCCAGGCGGCTTCGGACGCCCAGAAGACCGCCGTCTTGGAGCGTCGGGAAGCTGAAAAGAGGAGAACCCCAAAATTCACCGAAAACCAACAGATAATCAATGATTTGTGTCTCTTGGGACCTTCTTGAGAGTGCTCTTGGAGGCCTCTTGGGACGTTTCGGAGCGATCTTTGGGGGTATGACGGCTTCTTGGGCGTCGTCGTGGACCGTATTGGGGCTCTCTGGGGTCGTTTCGGGAGCGCGCTGGAACGCCTGGAACCCGTCTGGGGCCGTGTTCGGGCTCTCGTGAGGTTCTCCCTGGTCGTTTGGAGGGTTGCCTGGAGGCCCGGGGATGGTCAAATTCGTTAGGGTGTGTGTGTGTGTGTGTGTGTGTGTGTGTGTCTGTGGGTCTGTGTGTGTCTGTGTTCGTGTGTGTGAAAATATGTGTGTGCGCCTTAGAAAATATATGGATAGGAATATATACACAGGGAGAAAGAGAGAGAGAGAGAGATCAAGCGAAAACAAAACATACAAAGAGAGAGAGGGAGAGAGGGAAAGGGAGAGGGAGAGAGAGATGAGAGGGAGAGGAGAATGGAGAGAGGGAGAGAGAGAGAGAGAGAGAGCTTCCGCAGGGCGCCGCGCCCTCCACCAGCGTGTTCGAGAGCCAGCCGGTGGGCCGGGGAGGGCCTTCACATCAGCGGCAACGTTAGGGGGTATGTGGTAGGGGAGGGAGCATCGACCCGCTGAGGGTAGTCGTAGACCCCTGCCATCGTCGAGCTAAACCTCCAGCTCCTGCCTGGGCGACTGCTGGAGGCGCATCTGTCTGCGCCTCCTCCTCCTCCTCCTCCTTCTCTTCCTCCTCCTCCTCCTCCTCCTCCTCCTCCTCCTCCTCCTCCTCCTCCTCCTCCCCGTCCTGGCGAGAGCGGCTTTGCAGGCGGTCGGTTTGCCCCTCGGGGGGATCTGGCTCGGGGGGAACATCGCCCCCAATCGCCCATGAATCGTCGATGGGGGCCCGATGGCCCCAGCCCGCCCAGGAGGGTGCGGCTTCGCTATCGGGGGACTATCCCAGGTGTGTCGCCGATTCCAAGCCCCATTCAGGGGAGCGCCCTGAGCCCGTCCCCCCAACGTTCCTTGTCAAAAAGTCGTCGTCAAAGGGGGGGGTCCTCAGGGAAGTGGGCCCTGCGTTTTGTTCGCCGTTCTCTCGAAGAACAAGGCGGCACGAACATAAAATGTTCGGAGGACCGCGCGGATTTCTTGGATCCGCGCTGGACCCCCTTAGTGGCGCCTCCGGCACTGGCCCTGCCGCGCTCCGCGCGCCAGAGAGGGGTCAGCGCAGATCCAAGAAATCCGCGCGGACCTCCGAAAGTGTATGTTGATGTAGTTCTTCGTCCGACTCTCGGGCTCGACGAGGCCCTCTCTTGGAGGGAGAGACGAGACGGATCGGCGGCGAACTCCGAACCCTACCTTCGCCGATCAACGATTCAGGAAGCTCGATGGGCGGCGGGCGTAAGGTTCGGATGTCGCCACCTGCTGGAGCGGGGGGAGGGCCCCATGCGTCCGGTATGCATGCGAGTCCCCAAGGGGGAAATGGACAGGAGGAAGGAGAGGACGGTGGTCACGTACTGTCTGGTAGTTATGTCAAATCGACGATACGGGCAGTTCCAAGCTAAGCGTGCAAACCGAACCAGCACAGAGGCCCAAAGATCGACTCCACCACCTTGACACAGGCGTGCGAGACAGTAACGTACCCTGGCAAGGGTCAGCTTTCGCCTTTCGTTGGAACCTTGCCGCCAATCTTCTCATCCGCCGCCACCCAACCGATCGATCTATCGATCGACGGGATATCCACCGAGCACAGTCCGACGGCAGCACAGAGCAGCACTTGGCCACCGCCACTACAAGGACCAGCACAATCTTGCGTACAGCTGAGGTGCACCACGCAGCGGCCTACGACAACATCAGCATTGGCCGACAATCGCGCCGTTAGCAGGCCAATGCCATGCATTAGCTCGCGCAATAACAAATGAGACGTTCAACATGCCACAGCATGTAACGCTTCCGAAACGCACTACTGCAAGACATGCGGGCTCGCGGACTCGATTGAATTTCGACGAACGGTTTCGTCACACAACACACCCGCTCTTCACGCACAATATTCACAATGACGCGCGATAGTGACGGATGTATTGATCTCAACTGAAATCTCTCTCTCACGATCTTTGCCATACCTTCAGATGGGCATCTCAGCTCTTACCAAGCAGGGCGATCAAGGCGATCATCACTTAGCAACGGCTGCACAATAAACCCACTATGTTCCGAAAGCGATCAGCAGCACCGACTCGACCAACCTGCCAGAGTTGCCAGTTCACGCAACTAGGCCGTCACTGACAGCCTCTATTTCAGTCGCAGCACGGTGTTTGGGGATTTGTGTTGCTGCTCTTCTTTGTCCCCAGGAACATCACAACCCCACACTAACATCACCAAACACCACACTTTCAAGAACCCAGACGCCTCCCTGGCATTCGGAACTGATTATTTTTCTTCCTCCTCCTCCTCCTCCTCCTCTGATCGTCATCCGTAGCCATTTTGGCTCAAGTTCGAAACGCTTCCCTGGCGCTTCGAGCTTGGTCGCTGCCGAGGGGTCGGCTCAGAGCGGCCTTCTTGCGAGGTCAGGCCTCGCGGCACGTGAGCTTCAGTGCCCGTGCCTTCTGCTCGCATTTTGCGGCACCTCCTATCAGTTTGCTGCACCGTCTTTCCCAGCATCACTCTTGTTTCCCAGTCGCGATGGCCCTCTCTGGTTCGGCTGCTGCGGCCGCTTCCCAAGGTGAATATCGCTTAGTGGACGCAGAGGGCGGCGACTCAGGTGCGGTCCCCGCCGACGGCTTCAACGGCAAACGCAAAGCGGACTTGATGGTGGACCTGATCACTCAGGGATCCGACGAGGAGATGGACGGGGAGGCCGTGCCGTCTGCCCAACCTGGATGGCTGAAGGCGCTCATCCAACCTATGAATCGTGTCTGCGCCTCGATCGGTACGATACAGCAGCAGTTGGCTGACCACGACCTCAAGTTCGCAGATATGCAGCGCCAATACGAGTCTATCCACTCTGACATTCAATCCTCAGTCGACAAGGCTCTCGACACCGCCTTGGGCGCCAAGATTCGAGCCAAATTCGACGAGCTCGACCGAAAGTTCCAGTTGGCTTCTACGGCTGCCTCTTCCGTTGGTGGCAGCTCAGTCGCGGGAGGTTCTGGCGGCTCCCCTATTCGTGAAGCTGGTGGGCGCCCGCGCCCGCCACAGACCGTTGGCGACAAAACTAAGGTGCGGATTGGAGGCTTCAAGAGACCCATGCTGGCCCGTGTTCTCCAACGGCACTCCGACTGGGTCAAGCAGCAGCTCCCGCAGGACACGACCAAGAACGCCACGGCTCACGCTACCAATTTCTTTCAGTCATACAATTTCAAGTTCCCAGATGAGGACGAGGCTAAGAAGTTCCTAGAGGATGCCAGGACCAGGGGGGCTCTTCTACCACGACACGAAGCTCGGCCAAGTCGAGTTGAGGGTCAGGCTCGACGCCCCGCCGTTCGTTCGCGCTAGGCACAAGGTGCTCTGTCAAGTCTGGCAGAGGGTCGTCGAGCACTGGAAGTCGCATAACGTCGACTTTCGCGGCCAACACTGGCAGATCGGCTGCAACGGCTTCCGCGGCTTCTTGTTCGTCACGGTCAACGACGACATCTTCGTGCTTGCCCGAATCCAGGAGCTCGACCACGCCCAGTGGGCCATCGAGCCCGAGTCCAGCCACCTCTCGCAGTTCCAGGTCCCCGAGGAGAGCATGACGGAGTGGTGCAAGGCAGTTGGCCCTCGTGGCTCGCTGTGACACGCTCCAAAGCAGGACAGCCAGCACGACCTGAGCGAGGGCCTGCTGTGGGAGCATTCTATGCGAGCAGCCCGAGCTTCTGGGGTGAAGCGGTCTCGCCGTGGGACTACGGCGTGCGCGTCAGGCCGCGGGCTGAAACGCCTGCGCTCTTCACGAATTCGAACGCTCAGCAGCAGTACTTCCAGCTCTTCTTCTGCTTCCTCTTATTCCTCCTCTTCTGGCTGTTCCAGGCCGTCGTCTTCTTCCAGCTCGTCGCCCTCGCCTACGCCGGGCTGCCCGAGTCCGCTGGCAGCACAGCAGTTGCCTTTTCGGCCTCGCGACAAGCTTTCTATTGTGTCATGGAACGCCCAGCCCCTGTTCGGCTCGCAGTGGTCGTCTCCACAGCTACTGAGAAAAACAGCGCATCGGTTTCTGCATCTCGTCTCTCGCCACTCCATCGTCTGCATTCAAGAAGCCCGTGGTAGTCCACATGATCTACGACAAATTCTGAAAGAAACGGTTGATGGCTTTGGGTACGGCACGTTTTGCGACGTTCTTCATTCCGAAGCTGAAACTGCCCCCGCTGGCGGTTGCATTATCATGGTTCATCCCAGTCTTCGTGCTCAATTTATCCATATCTCTCATCATGTGCTGGTCCCTGGGCGAGCTCATATGATAAAATGTACGGGCACCTATGGTACGATGCATGTCTTCAATATTCATATTCCGCCTGAGCAACCTAGAGCAGAGCAAAAAAAAAGGTTTTCTGAGGCTAGTCAAAAGCAAGCTCCCCCCGCAGCCCAGCGCCCTGAGCTTCATCACTGGAGACTTCAATTTCGTTGCGGAAGGGGGGGCGAGTGCTCATCTTTCTGGTCGTCGGGTATACACCTCACACGCGATGGCCCAGTTCTTTTCCAGGCTGTTTCCGAGCATGTGTGAGATCGAGCAGCCACATCCTACCCACCAGGTGCTATCGCGTCAAGATATACACATCCCCGATCGGTCCGACCCCGTTCACGGTGTTGCTCATGTAGTGTCTGTCTCTCGGCTGGATCGTATATACACTAGCATGTACACTGCTCAGCTACTCGATTATGGTCTTCACTCATTCGTGATCGACAAAGCCTGTGAGAAGCAGCCCCTGTCCGACCACCTGCCCGTTGTCCTGTCCTTCTCGCCCGAGCTGTTTCGGGGAGTTCAGAGTATCCCGCGGTGGATTTCCAAACATCCCCTGCACCCCATCATGTGCCAGGAGGTGCACGACGAGGTTGGCATCAGTTCTCTGGCCCCTTTCGAGGCCCTCGAGGAAGGTAAAGATATATTGCGCGCTGGAGCCCAAAAAGTCAAACGGGAACTCGATCGAGCTGGAGCCACAAGCACCCCCGAGTTCATCTCGCGGGCCTTGGTGGCCATGCGCATTGTCGATCAGTTGCCCCACGATAGGACCCAAGTTGACCCGCCGGTGAGAGCGCTTCGCGCATGCCCCAAGCTCAAGGAGTTCATTGATGGCGACTCGCTCCTCTGGCTGGACTTGGCTGGGTTCCACGCTCACCTCGCCTCCCTCAACATTCGGCTTCTCGAGGATCGGCTGCACGAGGTGGAGGAGGAGGAGATCCCTGAGCCCCAGAAGCAACTCGAGAGGGTCAAGATAGGTAGCTACATGTCGTCCTGGGGCTCGGTTAGGAGGCGTATTTCTCTCGCTGGAGTTTCTGATCCCCCGGGAGAGCACATCACGGACCCTGATCAGGTCTGCGCACATCTCGGGTGGTTCTGGGGCCGTGTGCATGCGCATGTTTCTCCTGATCCTGGCGCTTGG